CTATCAAGATTATACCCCATGATTTCCTTCATTCATAATCTGTACTCGTTACTTTTCTCGTCTTACTCATATTTCGGCGGGGGGCATTAAAGGGGAGGGGGGGGGGCGCTTCACTATTCAAATGCTCACCCCCTCCCCCTCCCTCAATTTATTTTTCCACTTGGCCTGTATTTTAAATCTGAATCATTTTTATAGAGCAGAACTTCAAGTCTGCATGATCAGTTTTGGGAAACAAGGCCGAACACCACCCCCTCCTCATAAGTACTCTTTATTACGATGTTATGTTTTATAGGTAGTGATACAAGCAACCGTTTTCATGTTATGACCAAAAAATCGATTTTGGGGCACTTACCCCCCCCCCCCCCCAAACTCAAAGCTGTCACGCTATCGATGGGGACTTTTTTGGGGGTACTCAGGGGGTCATTAGGACTCACTATGCCAAAAATCAGCTTGTTATTAATTTTTCCCTTAACTGGCCGAATTTGTCAAATAATTCCTGGACTGGTAGAAAAAATGGAAAAAGTTATTTTAAGAATTAATTAATTTAAGCAAATTGATTACCTCTCACTTGATGACCATTTTTCAACAACAGACATAACTTTGGAATCTTGAACAATTGTTTTGTTTGAGATAGGCAATTTTTCTAGAGTTTCCAGGACCTGAAATCAACAGAGCAAGAGAAGATTTGTGCTCAGTATTTCCAACGCATGTAATAAGAAAAATAAACATCAGAGATACATTGGATATGTGTGAGCAAGAAAAAGAATCCCGCACAGAGCATGGGGTCAGCGGCTCTCGATGAAAGTCGATGAAACTTTAATAGATTGATATAAAGTTCATAATTAAGGGAAAGCCAAAAAATTAGCTCACTTTTGCGAGTAGAGGCCGAGATATTCGGGATTGAACCCGTACTATTTTCTGTGCGGCGAAGGTAAATTCTCCGTGTCGCCTTACCTTGCTTGAGCACTTCGGCCAGGAAACCCCCTCTCCCCACCAGGTAACTACGATGTCGCATTGTTTACACTCACTCCTTTCATTTGGATGCTCCGTTCGAGCTCTGCGATATGGAGTTCCCTGCTTCTCGCACCTCTACCGTGCCGGCGCTGCCGGTCAGTTAAATCTGAAATGTAGTTGCTGAAACAGAGTTGACAGATGCGGGGAGAGGGAGGGGGTATGGCATTCACACCGGCCGAGCGCATAAGCAACTATCTTCACGTGAGTGACGTGAGGTTTGATCGAGAACGCCGAACCACGAGAGGAGAGGGGACTCGGAATTTTTCCGCCATGCTGCGGCATGATAGAAAATAGTCCGGATTCAATTGCGAATGTCTCGGTTTCTAAACGCAAAATTGAGCTAATTTCTTGGATTTCCCTTAATTATGAACTTTATATCAATCTAATAAAGTTTCATTGACTTTCATCGAGAGCCACTGATCCCATGATCTGTGCGGGGTTCTTTATCTCTTCAGAGTTCCTCATTTTGTGTAAAAAGGGTCAATTTCAGTGATGAATAAATTATTAGGAGTCTGGTTCCAGCCTTGTTTCAAAATTCTGCTCCTGTGCTACAGCTTGCCATATTTGAGTGAAGCAGCTGGTTGAACAGGTCTCTCATTTCTCAACAACATCCAAAATTGTTTTTTAAATTATTTATGATCGTAAGTGATATATGTAACACTTAGGTGAGATTTTACCGTTTAAACAGATGACAGGAGTAGGCACTGATAGATTTATTGGATGGATTCAACAATATCATAATACGGCACAGAAGACCAAACTGACAGAAACCTGCAAAACTGTGAGTTTCGCTGTGATAAGATCATTTTTCTGCACCTGCTAACTTTGTAGTACACTCAGAAGGAGATTTGGACTTGCAATTATTTATTTATTTTTCATTTCTGGCTCATCCATAAAAACACTCCTGTACATGGGAAACCTTATGATACATAAATTGTTTCTAAACTAAACCAGAAATTATAGTTCCGAATTGCAAAATGTAGTCCATTCAGCAGTCTGTACAACAAGGCACTCAATGATGGTACATACCTAATTTTGTGGATAACAAGAGATTTTAATTTAATTCAAGTTGATACAAGATTTTTCCTTGACTCTAACATAAAATTGGAAAAGACGGATGAAAAAGGAGTTTAATCAATAAGTTGAAAGTGATGCTTCTTACCTCCAGTTGAAAATTTGAGTCGCTACACAATGAGTTGTCATTCATCCACGTCCAGAGAAGTCTTAGACCATGGTAATCTAGGAACAGTCGACGCACAGGTTGTTCGGCAGACCGAAGTACCTGTAGCAGTTTTAACCTCAGTGGCAAATCTTCAACTCGAAGCAAGTGTCTACAAAGAGTTAAGGTATCAGCACGACTTCTCAACCCTGTTGAACATAGTTTCTCAATTTCTTCCTCAGGCTGCAACAGAAAATCAAACATCAGTGATGGCAGGACAGTTTAAATCTTGACTTAAAAAAGAAGTACTGGTAGGAAAAATTCTTAAAACTCAGCGATATCTGGTCATAAATAGTTTTGGCCAGCTTTTCCGGTCGAACACCACAGTGTGCGCCGATCGATTTTGAGGAGGCATGAATGTAAGGCTCCCTTGTTAGTTACTCCCTTACTTACTCCCTAAAATAATTGAAAAAGTTTGAAAAGTTTGTAAATATAGTGCTCAGCACAGTTGGCACTTGTGATACTTTGGCTGGGAGGTGACAATATCCAATTTGTTAACCTCAACAAATCCAAAGAGTGCTGATTTGCCATACTCTCGTTTCTTATCACTGAGATGCTGCTGAAACGGTTATTCATGAATACACTTCTGGATTCTGGGACACCCAATATACTGTGTTCTTCTCCTCAGAGTGAGAAACTGCTTTAAAATTATGCTGTTTTTCTTTAGGAGAATTAACGTTTTTATTTTGAACAAAATTTTCGAACTATATCATTTAAACATCAAATAAGTTGGGTAACTTTGAGTGGGAAACTATTAAGCTACTAGGGAAAACTTGCAACTTCAAAAAGTTTTGGTTTAACAAAAGAAAAACAAACAAACAAAAAACATCTCACTTACAGGTTAGGCTTCAGAGCCTGTTTAAAGGTTTAATTGACAATAAAAATTGAGGCATACACTAGGGTGTTCCGTTTTCGGACAACCATCTCAAAACCTTGCTCCCCGGCTTTTTCCCATTCCTTTCGGTCCCCAAAAGATAATTCTGAAGTTTCAGCACCATAGCTTAAGTCTACACTTTCCTCAAAAGCGATGAGAATTTTGGAAGCAATTACATTGCTTTAAATGGGGAGAAAATAGGCCGATTCGCGGAACTATGTTTTCCGGCTGTAAAATGCGCCGAAATAATTTCAAACCTGACCATCTCTTGAGAAGTCATCCAGAGGCCTATTTTGAACGAGAAAATTCCACTTTTGACCCAGAGATGGGGGCAGGGTGGGTCACGGCGCAGTTAATTTTGAGGCGCTGGGCGAAGCAAAGTGATCGCATTTGACAGTTTATAATCAACCTCAAGACAGGTCCTCCGAAGCTGAGGAGGCTAATGTATCTCATAAAGTGTAATAAAATAATGTACAAGAGTTATTTTCATCCCTTCAGAACTGTTTTCGACCATTTACACTATTGCCAAAATCACTCAAGTGCAGAACATGATTTTGGCAACAGTGTAAATGGTCGAAAATAGTTCTGAAGGGATGAAAATCATTTCGGCGCATTTTACAGCCGGAAAACATAGTTCCGCGAATCGGCCTATTTTCTCCCCATTTAAAGCAATGTAATTGCTTCCAAAATTCTCATCGCTTTTGAGGAAAGTGTAGACTTCAGCTATGGTGCTGAAACTTCAGAATTATCTTTCGGGGACCGAAAGGAATGGGAAAAAGCCCGGAGAGCAAGGTTTTGAGATGGTTGTCTGAAAACGGAACACCCTAGTATAGACTACTGTAAAGATATGATGGAGTGAGGTTTTCAATACTAAAAATTGATGGTTAAAGTTTCCAACTTACATCAACTGTGTCCAAGAATTCTTTAAAATCTTTCTGCCGTTTGTCCTCTTTCCGCCGGCGCTCTTTTTCTTTTTTTTCACGACGTTTTTCATCTTTGGACTCATCGAAATCGTTCACTGGGTCAGGAGATTCTTTGTTTGGATCTTGACCTATCCAGCCACGACATAAGGCTGTTTCACAGTGACACCGTTGTGCTTCTTTTCTAAAATGAAGAAAATTAGGATCATTGGATCACTTACCAGTTTGACAGAATAATGGCGATTATGAATGAAAAATCATGATTATAGAAAAACAAATTTAATACCAGTTACCAAGAAATATAGTATCATTAGCAGCTCACAATTCACCAGAGCAGTAAATTGAAGAAAACGGGCAAAAAAATGCCTTCCTTACGTATTGAAAACCCGGATACAAATACCCCAGTTGAAGAGACAAAACTCATTTTTGAAAAAACACTAAGAGATGAGACAAAACTCCTTTTAGAAAAAACACTAAGAGATAGTAAAAAGGTTCTGGATATTTTTTACAAAAATATACAGAACCTTCTTGCAGAACTATTGCCTCATGGATGATACATTCTGTATTTTCCAAGGGACAAATAGGATTGTCGACAGTTTCTTTGAATATGTTAATTCCATCCACTTAGTTTGCAAATTACTGTAGAATGTATGATCAATAAGTCTATGACACTATTCTAAATCGGCGTTTTTGCCCCCCCCCCCCCCCCCCCCCCCCCCCCCCCCCCCCCCCCCCCCCCCCCCCCCCCCCCCCCCCCCCCCCCCCCCCCCCCCCCCCCCCCCCCCCCCCCCCCNTTGAATGGTACAAGTTACTGCAATTTTCTTTTTTGGATTGGATTTAGCAAAAAAAAAAAAAAAAAAAACTATAACTGGAAGTGGTGGAATTTGAAAATATAATGATTTTTTACCAAGTTATGATAATTTTTCGATGTAAATCCCATTTTTTTCCAGCCTTTTTTTCGTAATTTTGACCCTGTGCTTTCGCGCATTGTTGTTAGGACCTCAATCTATTATTTCCTAAAACTAGACACTCTACGATTTAAAATGAGCCCAAGATCATCCTGGCGAAATGATTTCTAACCGTGCTATAGTCGTTCAAAGTTGGCGCGACGCACCTCATGGGGCTTCTCGCGCGGCAAGCGTCCCGCTGGTGGACTTTTCCAGCACCATAACTGCAGACGAGGGTGGGGTGGGGGCGCATAAACGCGATACAGGTACTCATTGTAATGTTGTACATTGTATTTTTCTGTACATAGGCTGATTTAAATCATATGGGTATGAAATAAAATAAGTACCACCAATCAAAGGAACTCACCCGAACTTCAGTAATTGCTGTGTCCTTCATTTTCTTCATTGTCTTGATCCTAATCATCATCTACATCCTAGCTGATGTCCTGGAGCATTTCATCGTTTTTTAGTAGAGGAAGAGACTCATTTTAGAATTCAGCTGGATATCTCAAGACGGTTTTCATGTCGCCCATAAAAAATATACCAATTATAGGCAACGTGAACGCAAGGGTTCACAGTATGCGCACTAATCTTAAAAGTGCAAAAATATTATTTTAAGGTATTAGTAGATTTATCACTGAGATCTACAAGTATGTAAAGGAAAAAAAAAATTTGGAAATGTATCGCAATATTAATTTGCCCTTCATCAATAATGAATTCCGCACTGAAATTCTGTACTTACGCAACTCATGTAGGTAAGAGCCTTTGCTGATTGAAAACTCACTTTTGCCTTACAAAAAGTGATGGCAATGTATCCTCTCCTCAATTGTTCAAGATACTGCCAGAGAAATACGGTTAACTCCTCAGTTATTCAAACCGACAAATCCATGAAATTGTTGCGGCACTAATTTGGTATAGTTTTTATGGGCAACATGGAAACCGTCTTGAGATATCCAGCTGAATTCTAAAATGAGTCTCTTCCTCTACTAAAAAACGATGAAATGCTCCAGGACATCAGCTAGGATGAAGGTGATGATTAGGATTAAGATAATGAAGAAAATGAAGGACACCGCAATTACTGAAGTTCGGGTGAGTTCCTTTGATTGGTGGTATTTACTTTATTTCATACCCATATGATTTAAATCGGCTTATGTACAGGAAAATACAAAGTATAACTTTACAATGAGTACCTGTATCGCGTTTATGCGCCCCCCTCCCCACCTTCGTCTGCAGTTATGGTGCTGGAAAAGTCCACCAGCGGGACGCTTGCCGCGCGAGAAGCCCCATGAGGTGCGTCGCGCCAACTTTGAACGACTATAGCACGGTTAGAAATCATTTCGCCAGGATGATCTTGGGCTCATTTTAAACCGTAGAGTGTCTAGTTTTAGGAAATATTAGATTTGAGGTCCTAACAACAATGCGCGAAAGCACAGGGTCAAAATTACGAAAAAAAGGCTGGAAAAAAAATGGGATTTACATCGAAAAATTATCATGACTTGGTAAAAAATCATTATATTTTCAAATTCCACCACTTCCAGTTATAGTTTTTTTTTTTTTTTTTT